GAGCGGCCCGCCGGCGGGCGCAGCGCGGAGCTCGAGGGGAGGAGGCGGAGGGCAGGGGGGAGGAGGAGGAGGAGGAGGAGGAGGAGGAGGAGAAGGAGGAGGAGGAGGAGGAGGAGGAGGAGGAGGAGGTGGAGGAGGAGGAGGAGGAGGAGGTGGAGGAGGAGGAGGAGGAGGAGGAGGCAGAGGAGGCGGAGGAGGAGGAGGAGGCAGAGGAGGCGGAGGAGGAGGAGGAGGTGAGGGAAGCGAGGCCGATCACGAGCAGCACAGGGCCCAGACGCGCTCGCGTCGTAGAGGAAATCCCTGCGGGCGATTTTTCGTGCCATTCCACGGCCACCAAAACGAGCATCACTTCACTGTCGGGGGCGGCCAAGAGGGGGGGGGGGGATGACTAGGGGGGAGATATCATGGCGGGGGCCACGCCCCCCCGGGCCGCGCACATGCCGCAAGCCATGATTTGCGCACCCCCAACACGTCTCCTGAGGGCTCTGCCCCCCCCGCGCTGCCCTCTGAGGGCCGGTCACGCCCGACCGACACCGCGCGCTTGCTTCGCTCGCCCTCTTGGACGCCCACCCTTGCCCGCCCCCGACACTGGGCCCAGACATGCTCGCGCCGCACAGGACATCCCAGCGGCCGGTTTTTGGGGGGGCCACTTGTGGCCGTTGGGGGCCCTCGCCGGGCCCCCTGGGCCGTCAACAGCGGCTCGGGACGGAGGACCGACTCCCTTGGAGGAGAAAGGGTCGGGTTTTCCAGGAGCCCCGTGTTAAAGATCTAGACGTTGCCTGTCTGGGGTAGGCTTGATGGGAGAACGATAGATTAGAAAAACCAGAGCGCCATATGTCCGAGCCGTCCGTCAACCTCCGCCGTCCACCCTCGTCCTCATCCCCCACCCTCTTCCCCCCGTCCTTGCCATTCCTCTGCCTTCGTCCTCTGCATGTCTCCCCCCTCCCCCTCCTCACCGCTGTCCTCTGAGAGGAGCCGACAGGCGACAGGGGGGACTGGCTCCAGCGGGGGAACATTGGCGTGGAATTGACTTGGAACCAGCGATGGGCCCCCGATAGCGAAGCCGCCATCCAGGCCTCGATCGGCAATGAACGGGTAATTGGGGGTCGATGCTCCTTTACCCTTAGCCTACCCCCACCCCTCTCTCGTTACGTTGCAATTGTCGTGTCGACGCGGCGGCGACCCCAGCGCGAGCATTCAAGGTTGAACGCTGGCAGTGGCCCTGAATCGGCCGACATCGAGTGATCTGCTTCGTTGAAAGGCCGCAATATCGTTCAGTGCCGAACGATCCACGCGGTGCCCGAAGCCAGCGCCGACGTCGTCACGACACGAACGTGGTGCAGAGCACTGTGCTGCCAGCACGGCGCAGTCGACCCATGCACTCTCCCGTCTCATCCGCAGCGCGCGCCGTGGCCAGTCGTGTTGCCACGCACCGCGGGCCCACCTCAGGCAGGCGTGGGTTGGGATAGATCGCTCCGCCGCCTCCACCTCCGCCTCCGCCTCCGCCGCCTCATCCACCGCCTCCGCCGCGCCTCCGCCTCCCCCTCCGCCTTCGACTCCTCCTCATCCTCCTTCTCCTCCTCCTCCTCTTCCTCCTCCTCCTACTCTTCCTCCTCCTCCTGCTCCTCCTCCTCCTCCTCTGGCACGCTCTCAGAGCATTCCTTGGGTCACGCGCGGGGGCGCGAAGAGGCTCGCGCCGCGCGCCCTTCGCGGCATGCGCCGGAGCGGCTGCAATTCTCCCAAGGGGTGGGGCTCCCGACGGCGCGAAGACAACCGCGAATAGCGGGGCGCGCGGCGCGAAGTTGGGTGACCTAGGTTCCAAAGCTCCTGGTCGTCCTCCCCCTCCTGTTCCAATTCCTCCTCATCATCCTCATCATCATCATCAGCATCATCATCATCATCAGCATCATCATCATCATCATCATCATCATCATCATCATCATCATCATCATCATCATCATCATCATCATCATCATCATCATCATCATCCTGTCCTCCTCCTCCTCCTCCTGCTCCTCCTCCTCGAACTCCTCCTCCTCCTCCTCCTCGAACTCCTCCTCCTCCTCCCCCTCCTCCTCCTTCTCCTCCTCATCCTTCTCCTCCTCCTCCTCCTCCTTTTCCTCCTCCTCCTCCTCCTCCTCCTCCTCCTCCTCCCTCTCCTCCTCCCCTCCTCTGGAACCGCCGCGGTGCCCGACAGTTCCTCCAGCCCCGCCGGCTTTCAGAGAGCCCTCGTGTTACCAATAGGCACGGGCTGGGTGGGAGGAGAAGCAGGGCTAGGAGCATCGGCAGCAGAAGCGGGAGGCACAGTGGAGGAGAGAGGATGGATGGTGAAGGGGAGATCAGGAGCGGCACAAAGACGTACGCGCACAGGAGTTCGCACGGGTTTCGAGAAAAGGCCTTACGCGAGCGTTCGTGAGACGAGGTCGGCCTCGCGAATTTTACATTCGTGTACGCGGCTGGGAGCGTGCGTCTTTTTTGGGGGTTACCCAGGGAAGGGGAGGAGTTGGGAGTGAGGAGGTATCAAAGACGAGGGACCATGAAGGATGAGAAGAGTGAGGCGGAGGATGAGGAGGAGGAGGAAGAAGAAGAAGAAGAGATGGACTGAAGGCAAGAGGAGAGGCCTCGCGCCGACGAGCTGGAGTTCACATCGTCCGTGCGCGAGCCGTCGATGGGTCCACTTCTCCATCGCCTCCCCCCGCCGCTCCCTGGCCTTCGGGCTCCGTCGCACTGGTGCTGGGAGGATGAGGAACAAAAAACGTCATAAACATAAACGTGTGGCGCTCCGCGCGGAGCGTCAAAAGTTTATGGTTACGCCGCTTGTTGCTCCTCTAGAGGAGGGCACGAGGCGCTGGTGCGCCTCCTGCCCGCCCCCGTCTGGATCCTGCTGTCTCTCGGCTTCCGCTCGCTCGCTCGCCCTCTCCGCCTGGAGCCCTGCTCTCGGAGCTTGGGGCTTCGGGGCGACTAGGGGGGGGGGGAGTGTGCAGGGAGGCAAGGCCGCCTCCCTCCCTCCCCCCCACCCCGCCCTCTTGCTCCTCCTCCTCCTCCCGCGCGCGCTCACGGGGCGGGGCGGGAGGATGGAGGAAGGAGGAGAAGCAAGGAGGAGGAGGAGGAGGAGGAGGAGGAGGAGGAGCAGGAGCAGGAGCAGGAAGAGGAGGAGGAGGAAGAGGAGGAGGCGGAGGTCAGGAGGAGGAGGAGGAGGAGGAGCAGCAGGAGGAGGAGGAGGAGGAGCAATCCTCCCCACCATCCTCGCCACCGTCATCGCAGTGATCCCTCTTCGCGCTCCGCACTCCTCCGCGCCGATGCTCCTTATCTGTCCTTCTACTTCGTGCCGAATCTCCTCGCCTGTTCCCTCTCCCCCGTAGCTCCCCGAAGGTCTCAGGAGGCCCCTGGATATCCACAGAGATTCCAGGGGCTTCCAGGGGCCTAAGCAGGGGAAATCGTTGGTAGACAAAAAAAAACTCGATGATTGGTCCTGGATCGTCGTCGCTTCTGGCTCGAGCAGTCGCGACCGCCTCCCGCCCCCTCCCCCTGAAGCCAGTGCCGCGGTCGCTGGGCCACTCGCCAGGGGCAAGAGCAAAGGGCGCCTGGGAGCGCCTAGACAGGCGTTCCCGAGGCCCAGGAGGGAGGAGGAGGAGGAGGAGGAGGAGGAGGAGGAGGAGGAGGAGGAGGAGGGGGAAGGAGGAGGAGGAGGAGGAGGAGGAGGAGAAGGAGGAGGAGAGGGATGATGATGAGGATGAGGAGGAGAAGGAGGAGTTCGAGGAGGAGAGAGGAGGCGGGGAGGGAGGGAGGGAGGGAGGGCGGGGGGAAGAGGAAGAGGAGGACCAGAGTAAACACAAGATGCTTCAACGATGCTGCAATACGCCCACGCGTCACAAGTCCCCTCCTCATGAGCCCATACGAGAATTCCGTTTCATTGCGGGAAGTGCGCCTTGCAAGATGAGCGCCCCATGGCTTTGTAAGTCAGGTGAGAGCCCCATTGTCAGAAGGAGTTGTTAGCCATGGCTCTAGCCATGAGAACAGCAACGAGGTAGGATCAGAAAGTCGAATGAAGTGTCCAGTGTGAGAGCCCCAGTTTGAAAAAGAGTCGCCCTCATTCCGTCAGATTGCAGTTGTTGCACGTCTGGTCATAAAAGTAAAATACGTCTCGAACGACAGCCCCAAGTTTGAAAAAGAGTCGCCCTCCTTCCGTGCACTACGCGGACGGAGTGCGTGTAGTTGTTGCACATCGCAGACTGTGCAGCAGCCAGACAGCTTTACACATGTTGCACAGGTGCAGACGTCTGATCAGAAGGACGAGTCGATTTTTGTTGTGACCAGAACCGCCCTCCATCCGAGTAGCTGCTGGATTTGTTTGAGACGAACGCGCGCTGCGCTATGGCGAGGGACGCATGTTGAAAAGGATCGCTCCTCCATCCGTGCGACTGCTGGAAAAGTTTGAGACACATTCGCGCGACGCAAAATCGATCACGATACTTGGACCCACCATCCATCCCCTTGACGGTTGGAAGCTCGTATAAAGGAAGGCGCGCGGCGCCAATGGCGAGAGCCACATGCCGAAGAACAGCCGCGCTTCCTCCGTGCAGCTGCCCGACGCTCTTTGTGACGAGGGTGCGCGGCGCTGTGGCGAGAGCCACGCTATGCAAACGATCCCCCCCCTCCGCCCGTGCAGTTGATAAAAAACGAGTGCTGGACGAGTGCGGGAGGCGCGAAGGCGCGAGCCCCCTACCGAAAGAATGGCCCCCTTCCATCCTCCTCCATCCTCCTCCTCCTCCTCCTCCTACATCCTCCTCCTCCTCCTCCTCCTCCTCCTCCTCCTCCTCCTCCTCCTCCTCCTCCTCCTCCATCCTCCTCCTCCTCCTCCTCCTCCTCTGAAACAAAGAAATGAGCGGCGCTGGGGCGAGAGCCGCATCTTGGAGACGATGCCCGCTCCGTCCGCATAGCTGTCGGAAGCCTGTGCTGACGAGTGTGCGCGGCGCAGAGGCGATAGCCACAGTTTGCTC